CGCCTGCCTAGTCTGAAACAGCCAGAAATCACCAAATCATTTCATGTAACAACACACCAGCTATCCAATGTTAACTTATCATTAATAACGGCCTTGGCAGGATTCAGATTGGTGATCTAGACGTGAAAGGCTCCTTATCCTATTATTAACTGCCTGGTCCACCCTGTCCCCAGTGAGGAAATATAATTATACATTACACTCACAAAAATGCAATTTAAAAATCCTAGTCTAGAGAATCCTTATTACTTTGGCATTTTACTGGGCAACAATTAAATCAATAGAAATACTGCCAGACGCAAAGCTTACAGTATATCGTTTTTCATGCCAATATAAGTGTTCAGATACTATAGTGACTGATATTCTATTATAGCAGTTAAGATTGAAGCGTGCTTCTTATTATAAGCTGATTTTTCAGTCTCTCTCATGACTTTTTAAAAAAAAAGTAACTAATCCGCCTGCACATTGCGTGTGCCACATCTCATTACAGGATACAAATTTACTGAGAACATTGCTTAAAAAAACAACAACAGAAAAGCCATTTTAAAGCTGAAGTGCCTGATTCCTCTCTCACACTAGTGTAATTCAGACATAAGCTGATTTAAGCTGCTGCAGTTACACAGTTGTAAAGTGAAAGGAGACTAAGCCCCACAGCGTTTTGAAAATTTTCTCTTAACTTTTGAAAAACATCATTTTCTCTTCTTTTTTTGGGGAGGGGGCCTTCCCGCACCTCCAAACTTGCTTGGCTTATGAACGCCAAATGATCTTTGTTTTGTTGTCCTTGCTGAGCAAAAGAACCTTTTAGCATTTTTTTAACAGAGGGTGAAGAGTAACATTATTTCCAATTTTAATAATGAGTAGAATTTCAAGAGGCAGAATATAATTAGAATTTGACCAGGACATCAGGATAACACCAGAACTCTTGCAAAAAAATCATGAGAATTTTTATAAGCCATAAATAATTTGGACGTCTGATTTATGTCTTAGTCAAAAGACAACTCTTCCAATAGGCCAATGCCACCTAACACCATGATGGCACATTGGTTCAGCAAGGTGGAATTACTAACACCCCTTCCTGAAGCATGTAAGTGTTTTTGTGTTGGTCTCTCATCCAAATACTAACCTGACCTGACTCTGCTTAATTTATGAGAACACATGAGCTAATAAGTAGAGTTAGTTGAAAAATGCTCCTCCCCCCTGGAGAATGTTGACTTTTCATCCAAATTTGTAACCCCCTTTAGGGTTGAAAATTAAAGAATGAAAATTGTCAGCCAAAGAGAGCCCAAAAAATTCAGCTTTGTGGTGAAAAAAAACCAAACCCAAATGGTTCAAGGAAAGCAGATTTCCCACAAAAATTTTTGTTTACTTGAACCCCAATTTTGCATAAATACAAAGCTTCAGTGGAAAATTTTCAGCAAGCCCTATTTGTAGGCCAAAGTGATATCTCTCCAGGATTCAGTAACATACATGCAGGCCCAGACCAACCTCTGACCCTGATGTCCTCCCTGCTCCTTCCTTTCCTAGGTATTCCCTTTATTGCTGTGTGATTGAGCAACATCTTTAATATCAATGACAAGATACTGCTTCTCCTGGAAAGCAAACTCACTGATGAACCAACAAAGCAAGCAACATATTGTGGGTCACATGCAGCAGATACACTGTTCACTGGTACCAGGAGAGCTAAGAAAATAGAACAAAAGCCTCATGCATGGGGAAAGATGGAGGGTTTGCAAACCTTTAGAATATGTATGTATTCTGTATATGTATAGAGACGAGAAGAATAAAAAAAAGGGAAGGGCTTGGGGCTTTAAAACATTTCTTGGAGTGGATGGAGAGTGAATGCAAGAAGGAAAGGGATGGGCCATGAGAAAGAGATGGAAATGAAGATCAAAAAGAGGAGAAAGGGATAAAAGGGCACAGGGAAAAATGGGAAGTCAGGGAGGGAAAGTGGTGTCTCTTCCCATTGTTTTCAGGCAATGGTAGGGTGAACTCTTTTTTATGAACATTGATTGAATCCTAATTGAAATTTACATACGTGTGTCATAGGTTTTATACTAAAGTTGTGACATTCAGGAATCATGGTGAGAGATTTGTCTTTGTTTCCCTGCACCAGTCACCTGACACAGATCAGTGTTTCAAAAGGTTCTTACCTTTGTCACACGGCAGAAATCAGTATCCACTGATTGTGGTATCTACTCTTTATTTACCAGAAATTAGAAAGACTAGAAAACTACAATGAACATTGTTAAAGCCTGTTCTTTGTATATATTTCCATAAACTTGAATTTAAAAGCTGATGCAGTTTGGCATTTTTTGTATCTCAGCCAATAAATGACTCCTGAGAGTGACTGAGTAATAGCCCGTATTCCAAGTTTTCATGCAGCTGTTGATTTGTAAGTCAAAGCATGGGGGGCACGGTTCCACCAGGAGTGAATTCTGCAGTATAAATGCTAATGATCCCCACCTACATTGCAGTGTGGGGGTAAGGTGAGGTTTGATTTTGCAATGCACAGCAGAGGATATTGGTCTAAGAAAACATATTAAAACCTGGGGCATAACTGATACTTGGGTGACATTCACCTAAGAACGTAAGGACTGTAGTAGCCCTCCGCTGTAGTGGACTATGGTAGTTCTGCTATACTGGATGTTGGCAGCTAGAGAGTGGACACACAGAGGGCCTGAGTGTAGCAAAGGTGGGCCCAGGGCCTGTTCTGAATTCACCATTGTGGACAGGACATTAAGGGGCAGGGTTACATAGATCCAGTGGACACAAACCCCTATGTTGGGATTGTGCAGAAGTCACAGCCCCTAGTCCAGTCTAGGAATTGGAGTCACAGTTATGGAGAAGCTGCAGGGGGGCACTGTTGCCTTTCTGCCCCTCAACCCTACACAGCATGACACTGATGCTCTCTTGTCTACTAAATACCACCTTTCTCAGGCCTGCCAGAACTGGGAGGGGGGAAGGTGGAAGTAGAGCGGTGCAGACAGAGCCTGGCAAACTGAATCCTCTTTTCCAAATGAGTGCACTCCGCATGTATCCAAAGCTTGTGTGCACCCAGACCTTGGATACATTCTCAACAGGGTTCATTTACAACTTGCTTGAATGTGCCTATAACAGTTTGTGGCTCATAATAGTTGTGTCTCCTGAGGGCTGTAATTCCTTGGTCTAATTTCAGTTGTTGGGTTTAGTGTGTGGGTGCCGGGTAGTGTTGGTGGCCTGTGACATACAGGAGGTCAGATTAGACGACCTTGTGGTCCCTTCTGGCCTTACATTCTATGACTCTTTCCCTAAAGGAGAAAATAGGCATCATCCTGTGCACACAGAAAAGTGACCATCCGCAAGATCTGCTGCACAACACGCAACTGCCGCTGAGGGTACATCTAGACTGCAACTGAACATCCATAGCTGGCCCAAGTCAGCTGACTCGGGCTCATGGGGCTCAGGCTATGAGGCTGTTTAATTGTGGTGTAGACGTTTGGGCTTGGACTGAAGCCGAGGCTCTGGGACCCTCCCTGCTCACTGGCTCCCAGAGCCTGGACTCCATCCAGCCTGAGTCCGAACATCTATACTGCAATTAAACAGCCCTGTAGCCTGAGCTCCGCGAGCCCGAGTCAACTGACACAGGCCAGTCACGGGTGTTCAATTGCAGTGTAGATATAGTTATAGAGCTAGATGCTCTAAGGGTATTACCCAGTTACTCATGTGGACTGGTGCAGGAAGCAAGAACAGTAAGATGGTGCCCAAGAGAAAAAATTGAGACCTTAGGCTTTGACCAAAACACAACTGAAAGGACTGTTTTTCCCCAAATGGGATATTTTTCACTGCTGTAGCATTGGTCACATTGCACTGTGGCAAAGACAGCAACCTGTGGCTTCCCCATGCAGACATACAGCCCTAGTGCTGGGGGCTAACTTCACAATAAAAAGGGACTAAAATGGACACATTCACTCAAAACAAAAAAGAAGGAAAGCTGAGGTTAGCATTGACATTTGGGGTTTAATTCAGCTCTCATGTGGCTGCAGATGCCACTGGCTTCAGTGGGGTTTGGGCCGGTGGTTTTCCCACCTTGCTCCATACACAGCCCACACAAGCTGCAGCAGGTCAAAAAACTTACCCCTTCTGAGAGTTTGGTTTTATTCATAAAATGAATTCAAAATGAAGTAACACAGGAATTACTGGGTGAAATTCTTTGGTCTGAGTTATGCAGGAGGTTAGAGTAGGTCTCGTTACAGTCCCTTCTGGCCTTAAAATCTATGAATTATGAAAACCTAGCTGAAGTCTCTGCCCCAGGCCTGGATGCTCCTAGCATTCCTCTCTGGGAACGGCTAGGTCTGCACGTTAGGTTGTCTCTTCCTAGAAGGCCACTCCCATCTCCCTCACTTGTGGCTGGGGGAATGAGTAACTTGCAGTACTGAGTTAGCAAAACACACATAACATTTCCCAGCAGGATCATCGTTACCTGCATGCAACAGCCTCGCCTACACTAAGGAAATTTTCTTTAAAACATTCCTGCTGTTGCTAACACTAGCTCCGCTGGTTTGGAGCAAGGGTTGCAGAGCAATACTGATCAGGAGGACGCTGGGGAGAGGCACAATCCCTCCAAGTGCTCCAAGGAATTCAGGGGTATGTGCACACAGAACCACCCTTTAATGAGCTGTATTGTGTGATGTTGGGGCAGGCCCAAGGCTCCATTTTATTTGGGGTGATTGGAAGCCAAGGGATGCAGCCTGTGCAAGCCCTGGAACACAAAGACTGCAATTTTCCTTGAATCTGGCACAGGAGGTGCTAGATAGAGGAAAGATCCTTCCCCCTTTCAAGGGCAAGGGATAATCTAGTCCTAAGCATTTACCTGTGTCCCTGCCTATAAATACATGTTGCCACAACTGTATAGGTATATAGGATTCACACAGTGCCTTTCATTCCAAAGAACCCTGCACCATATATATATATATATACACAGCACCACCACAATCATAACATGTGTTGCAAATGGCATTGCCTACCTTTGGTTAGAGAATGAATTCCAAGCTTCACTTGTGAGAAATTCCCACTCCCTATTTCCCCTCTCACTCGATAGAATCCAATCCTCTTCCCCAGAGTTAATTCCTTCACCACCTTTTCATCCTGGGACATATCCTGGGTTAGCTTCTCAAATGGGGTCAGCCTGCGCTTCCTGCCCTCCTCATCTTCTCCATAGCACTCAGCCCGCCCGTAGTCCTCTCCGCTGTCCTCACGATTCCACCTGGCATATCGGTGGTTTCCAAGACCTCCGCCATTCATATAGCTTGTTGTCATAGTCCACAGAGCAATCACATTTCCATTTGGTTTAACAAGCTGTTCCAGTGGAATACAATCCTGGACATAACAGAATTGTGATAACCTGAACAAAAATTGCCAGAGGTCCAAAGATCAATGTGGAAATGACTTAAAAACCAAATTTGCCATCATATATATATTGCTGGTTCTATCCAAAATCAGAAGTAAAATTACAAGCCAATTGGCTTTTACTCTCCAGTGAGCAATTTTAAATCCTTATCTGTAAGATAAAAAAGGCTTGATAATTAAAGCTGTAAACTGTACACATACAAAAGCAAAGAGTCCATTTTCAATGGAGTGCAAACAAATGCAATACATTTGACACTTCTTTAACTTTCAGGTTCTAGTTTGCTGCCCTGAAAACACTGACAGGCACACCTCAGACTGGTAGCTCAATAACTACTTTGAATACGTCCAAAAGCTTTCAGATCACTTTGAACAGCTAACCTTCGGTAGGATTTGATGCAGTCCTTCTTGGTTCAATGCTCAGTCCAAAAGCTGAAAGTTGGATTTTCCTTTGATTCATTTTTCAGCCAGCAAGCTTCTCACTGTGATTTGGAAATGCCTGACCTTTACCTTGCAGCCCTGCTGTAAAATGCTTGCCACTGCTTTGTTTAATTTCCATTGCTACTTTGATGTGCAGAATTGCTGCTGGAGGATGCTAGGAGCAGTATAAGCTCTGCACCGGGAAAAAGAAAAGCTGCACCTCAGTCTTGTTCGAGTCACATGGAAGGAAAGCACAGGATTAAGTAACTGCAATGTCACTTTAACCCTCCTTTATTTAGACGAGCCTTCTTTAAAGCCTTGAGCCTTCTCAAAATTTTGCAAGACGCGTTGTCTTCCTAAGAAGAGAGATGAAGAAAGTCATTAAACCCTTTATATAAATAGCCTCATGTTTCACTGAGTTACATTATAGCATAGATCATTTACCAGTTTTATTTCCACAGTCCACACTGTTTGGTTTTGGCACACATACAAATTACAGCTTGTACTAAAATATACTGACAAGCAATCACTTAACATGATAATAGTAAGATGTTCTTTCCTCTCTACCTGCTGATAACTGGGCAGGAAGAGGAATTTTATCAGACACTGTTAATCATTTGTATATCCAGCAGTACCAGTTTGTGCACAGAAGGCGTGGAAATGTTAAAGAAGCTGCTGCCTCTAGCCTCCCTCGCCCATGCACAGACACAGGAGCAATATCCTTACATAACTGATTAAATAGAATTAGACCAACAAAATGATTATCACTTTAAGTATGTGGAGTCTGTGAGGTACGTAAAGATGGTGAAGACACCTCAATGACTCAAGGCCTTGAGTTTTGGCAGATAGTTATCTACAGTATCACATTTAGAGGGGTGTTACCACTCATGTCCTGCATATATTGCAGGATGAAGCTGGCTGGCTCGAAGACAAGTTCCCTGTGCCACTGGGGATAGGTGGAGAAATGGAAGGTATTGTGAATAAGGCATTAGACTGGGAGTCAGGAGACCTGGTTTCTCTTCCTGCTTTGCTGTTAGACCTTAGACAAAGCCACATCATCTCTCTGTGCCCCAGAAACGATACTCACCTTCCTTTGTAAAGAGCTGAAATGCACAATAAGAGCTAAGTATTATTATTTAATTAAACTCCTGACAGTAACCCAACCAAAGTCTTTACTATATCACAGCAGTATAGGTGCTATTCATCACTAGGTTCTGGGTCTCCAGCATGGGTGCACAAGAGTGGTGAGAGGGCACAGATAACCCACCCTTCCTTCCCTTGTGCAAGTGCTATGGGAGCAGCCAGGGTGTCGGGGCTTGCACTTCAGGAGCACAAGAGAGCACAAGCTAACACAGGGTATGCCGAATAGGGAGTGACTAGAGGTATCTCTACATTGCAATAAAACACCCATGGCTGGCTTCTACCAGCTGACTTGGGTTTGTGGGGCTCAGGCTAAGGGGCTATTTAATTGCAGTGTAGACATTTGGGCTTGGGCTGCAGGCCAAGCTTTGGGAGCATCCCACCTCACAGGCTCCAGCCTGAGCCCAAGCATCTACACCACAATTAAACAGCCCCTTAGCCAAAGTCAGCTGGCACAGGCCAGCTGCAGGTTTTTAATTGCAGCGTAGACATACCCTAGATGGGGCATAGCTAGGGCCCAGCCCACCCTGAATCAGCTGTAGGTCTGATGCATATGCTGCACCAGGAGGACTTGCTCCCTTTTAAAAAGCACTTACTGAGCCCTTAAACAGAGGTGCAAAACCATTTTAAGTATGCTCCCCTCAGCACCCAGGCTCTACCCTGGATATTTCTGCTATCTGAGGCTGCCAACATGAAGTTCTGCTTTGCTGTCAAAGTTATGTTTGTTGGAGTCAGAGAGCAGAAACCAGAAATGCAAAAAAAAAAAAGATTCACTAAGGTAGTGCTAATGGCAAAGAAAATTAACCACAGAAATCTAGCTCGTCATTATGCCTGTCAGTTCATTCGGTAGCCTGTGTGAAAGAATCAGCCTACTTATACTGATGGGGCACACAGAGGATACTCAACAGTAAAGGCCATTTTCTGCAAGAATTACCTATGCCTTTGCACCAATCAGCTGTACAAAGGGCTGAAGAAAATCCTTCTTGTGGCCTGTCAGATAGACCTATGTGAACAGTTCTTGTGTAATATTCATTATGGGCAAAGAGAGGCCAGCTAGAGGGGTGTATATGGAAGCTCAATATCATGGCTATGAGAATGCTTTAACCCAGATCTCTCTGTCTGTCCAGACAAAGAGGAAACTGGGTCAAGGCATTCTCAGCACCAGGTCCTTCTGGAATTTATGCCTACCAAATATATTTGCTTGAGCCCAAAGATAGCCACTTTTAGAACACAGCCTAAGATTAATTTCTTTTTCCAGTCCTCCTGCTAATTGCAGGCCCTGCAATCTCCTGGCACTTAGCCCACTGGCTAGGTTTCCTCAGTCCTTTAAGATGAGCTATTTCAGTGCTGCAGGAGCTAATGGAGTAAATGCTCTCCATCTGTGGGCAATGTTGTCTTATCTTTAATCTAAATCATGGAGAACAGTGGTTTTCAACCTTTTTTCATTTGCAGAGCTCTAAAAAATGTTGAATGGAGGTGCAAACTCTTTTGGAAATCTTAGATATAGTCTGCAGCCCTCCAAGGGTCTGCCATAAAACAGTGGTTTTCAACCTGTGGTCTGCAATGGCAACCTTTCATGGACCCCTTAGGCATAGTCTGTGGACCCCCTGGGGTCTGCAGATCACAGGTTGAAAACCACTGATGTAGAATGCACCCAAATACTGTGGTGAAGGGTACTTCACAGATGCCTGTAATAATAAATAATACTAATTCCAGGAGAGAGACAGACAGACTGGAGAGATTGACATTACCACAGCCAGGAGCCACGTGTACTGAAGGGCAACTTATGCCCCAAAGTACTTCAGTTTTGTAACCCACCTGGCTTATTAGTGACCCACAACAGTTGGCCTGCCTGCTGTCTGTCTGATTTAGCTCATTGCTAAGAAACAATACTAGTGATATTAGAGCCACCAGCAAGACAAAAGGAATGAAGGCATCAAACTTTAGGAAATCTTCAAAGCCAGCATTGCTGTTGTGTTAGTGTTTGACCCCATTATTCAAACATCTACACCCTCAATCAGTGACGCCACTGGCATTTGAGGGCTCAGCTCAAGCCTTACATCACAGACTTGGGAAACGCATTAGAATGAACGGAAGAAGGAGAAAGCCAAGAATGAGAATATTTTTAACTTGCAAATACTATGTAGGTCAATATTTTTCAGACTTGGATGCATAAACGTAAGTTTCTAAATCCATATATTGGCATCTGTAATTCCTTCTGCTAGGTGGAGTTGGCAGCAACAAGGGATGGATTCAATATCCAGGGGTTCCTCTGAACAATACAACACAGAACCGGCTCGAGCCCCCACCCAGTAATCTGGGAAAATTAAACACCATTCCATGGTGCCTCTAAGAGGCAATACTTCCCCACTTGCAAGCACTGAGTCTGTGTATAGCAGAGAAAACTTTTAATAAAATAAATAATTTTTTTTTTAAATTAATGGAGATATCCTCTCTCCTAGAACTGGAAGGGACCTTGAAAGGTCATTGAGTCCAGCCTCCCACCTTCACTAGCAGGACCAAATACTGATTTTGCCCCAGATCCATAAGTGGCCCCCTCAAGGATTGAACTCACAACCCTGGGTTTAATAGGCCAATGTTCAAACCACTGAGCTATCCCTCCCCACCTAAAAAGGGGAAAGGAACCTGCCATTAATTTGGGAAAACACCATAACCATGATTTTAACATAACTGACCTTGAGCAAAAGTCCCCCATCCCCTCCGCCCATAGTACATTAGGCAGTGTCCTTTGCCTCCATTTCTCATTTTGCGGTGTGATAGTTCAACAAACAAATGTTCCTTTCGCACGCCACTTCCCTCTCCCTTCACCGCACCCCATTCACAGCTGCTGTCCTTGTTCAGCGAAGACCCAGAGTTCAGAGGTGAGTTCACCTCCTGCCCGGGATGCAGGGGGAAGAAACGTCGAGCAATGCCTCAGCTGCTGCTGCCACTGCAACTGACTCACAGTTGCCGCCGTTTGCTCTGCGTCGCTGCCTGCTGCTGCTGCTTCTGTACCATCATTCATGCTGCTGAACCATCATTCATGCCGTTGCTGTCATCTGTTGGGCCATTGTTCACTCTACCGCACCATCATCTGCTCTGGTGCCGATGGCCCTGCACCATCCCCTTCTGCTGCCACCTGCTTCTCTACTGTGACCTTGGTGAGTCGTTCCTTGAGGTTCCACCCAGCTGTCAGTGATTTCAGCAGCTAGTGGGGGTACCTCACTGCTAGTGCAGACTGGGCAGTCACTTCCGCAGAATCGTTGTCCCACAGCAGGTCTAAGGCTGAGCCCTTAGACCTAATTATCGGTGATTTCAGCTCCAGTGATCACTTAACAAAACAAACAACTCTC